CCCTGCTATAGGCTTAAATCATAATGCAAGTAATATTTTCAGGTGGTGGCATTTTAGTAGATAAAAATGAATTTGAGTTTCTTCAAAACCAGGTTTCCTTGATGTCCAATCTTCACTGATTTAATATAACAATCCATCTTAAAATCAAAGTCTTTATGGTAATTGATGTTCATCAGTCTGTTAGGTCGGCTAATAGACCTGCATCACATGGTTTTGAAGATGCGGTATCAGTACATCATGAAGATAAAAAGTATACAATAACATTTTAAGTACCGGTAACTAATAATGGATCAGGTTTAGATATCATGGATCCTCAAAGTTTGTATGATGAATTCATGGAGTAAACACAAGAAACTAAGTTTGACATCCCCAAAATCTTTTAGGGTGATGATGTCTTTAATGATTCTGTGATCAACCAAGATACCAATAAAAAGGGTCGAGAAAAAGTAATTGACATTCTACTATCCTCTATAAGTTAAATGCAAGAGATTGTTGCCACCTTTGTTGGACCAGGATATTTGTCATGCCCTGCCCTAAGCGGCTCAGGATTGTTATCTTCAGGAGGTTCTAAAACTGTTATGTCTGGGTTTATGCCCTCTGATACCTCTTTTAAATAAAAATATTGACCCTGAGGTAGTCCTCTATTGTAGATTCTATCATAACCTTAGGTAAGGCCCATTTAGAGTTGTCTCTGAAGCATAGATTATTTCTTGGGAAATATCGCAGCAAAAGGTAGCACCCAATATATTTAACAACAAGGCCTGTTGGTGACACTTTGTCCGGCTGGATTGTTCCGGCAGGCCCTTCAAGGGCTGTCATCTCCAACTGGAGCAGGGCGAGAGGCAGATTACCTCGCCAAAACTACCACTAGACATTGGAAAGTAATAAATATTTTATGCTGGACAAATTTATATATTACTGGGCCACTATTACCTCAGATCAGTGAATATCGTTAGTGGTTATAAGATTGACTTTATTTCAACTCATTTATTCAGAAGGCTATTCCAAATAGCCTGCCTTTTAATCATAAACAGATGTCTTTAATGGATGAGGAAGTCATTTAAATGATATTTAAGAAAGCCATCGATTCTGTATCATCAGCATACAGTTATATTATTATTATTATTATTTAAAAACAAAAACAAAAAAAACAAAACTGTTTAAGCAGGAAACACTGGCAATTGCCCTAAGGCTATTAAACGGAACGATTTTTTAACATCCATTGATATTAAAGAGACTTATTTTTCAATTCCTGTTTGTCTTGATCATCGAATATATCTACGTTTCAAATGGCGAGATCAAGTTTATGTGTTTACATGTTTACCTTTTGGTCTTTCTTCAGTTACACATACATGTATCTTTACAAATATTCTCAAAACTTTGTTTGCTTGGCTCAGGAAACAGAACATACTTTATAGATGATTCTTTATCTGCTATGTACAGGTTTTTTTAGGTTTGGCTTCATAATTAATACAGAAAGTATTTTAGGCTTCATAATTAATACAGAAAGTTATCAAGCTTGTTGACATATGAGAGAGTTTCTAAAATAAATAATAATGGCTGAGGAAATTTTGTTTAGTTCAAATTTATTAATTCATATGAGCCATCATTTATTGGTCAGTGTTCCTTTAGTAGAACTGCTATTATACTTGCATTATATTTATCCATTATTTAGACAAACAGAAAAATATATTTCTGTCACACTGTATCTTCAGCTATGATAATGATATCATTCATATTCAGGCAATGTTTTTGGAAATAGAATGGTGGATATCTAAGGTTTTTATATAATGGGTTTTATATTCATCATTCTATTATACATGTATAAATGGTTCATAACATCAGATGTTTTCCCATATGGATGGGGTGCCCACAGGGTAAATTCCAAAGCAATGGCCATTGAAATCTTTAAGAGCAAGGAAACTATATAAATTATTTAGAAGTTTGAGTAATATTCAATGTTCTGTCTGTGGTCATATTTGTTTTTTATACATATTTGTATCCAGTCTGATAATACCTTTGTATTACTTATATAAATAATCAGGGTGGTTATATTGGTAATCTTTTTGAATTGTCTAAAGAAGTTTGGCTGTGGTCTTTGAAAAAAGGAATCTTTTTGTCAGCCAAACATGTTGTTGGTAAATCTAATGTATTGATGGACATTTTGTCTAGAATATTTTCTAGTTCAACGGAATTAAGCTAAATGAGTATATCTTTACAAAGATTTGTAATCATTTTTTCATACATGATGTTGATCTGTTTGCTTCCAGACTTAATAGACATTTAGAAAAATGTTTCTTGACATCCAGACCTTCTATATATGTATCAATGGTTCTGGCAAAGGTATTTCAAAACAGTAGATCAAGCAGCCATAATCATTCCAGGCTGGTCAACTCCTGTATGGTATCCAATTTTACTATCTATGCTCACAGCCGACCCAGTTCGGTTACCGGTTCGCAAGAACCTTTTTACGTTTAAGCCACAATGGTGCTTTACATTCTCTTAGAGGGAAGAATCTATATCTAACAGGATGCAGGATACCTAGCAGTCCTTCTATAATAGAGGAATATCATAGCAATCTTCTAATTTCATCCTTAATTCTTGGCGGCCATCTACTACGAACAGTATGCATTGGCCTAGCTGGAGAAGATGAAATTTTTGGTGTTGTGGACAACAAATTAATTCATTTCATCCATCTGTAGTTTTATAAATTTCTTAGGAGAGATGTCTAACAATTTCCTTATAGGGTAAAAAACATTATTTGATTCTCTGTAACTCCATAAATATCTGTTTACTTGGAATGCTTCAATATTAGTAAATTATTTGGGTACGCTGTATCCATTGCAAAATTTATCTTTGAGAATACTGACATATAAAACCAGTTGGTTTGTTGGCTTTAGCTACAGCTTCGAGATGTCAAATTTTAACAGACTTTTGTCTTAATGGTTTATATGATTCAGGCTCTGTTATAACCTTGAGAGTAAATAAGGTTTCAAAAACTTCTCGACCTTTAACACCGTTATTCAGGGTTAAAATTCCAAGTTTTTAAGATGTCAGGATCTGTCCTTGTTTTACTTCGAGACAGTTTATCCGTACAGCAGCAGAATACCGTAAATCAGTCAAGGATTTGCTTTCCTTTTATACGAAGAAGGCTATAGCTCCAGGAACTTCTGCTAGGTGTTTAAGACAAATATTAAAGTTAGCTGGTATTGATACTTCTATTTTTAAAGCCCACTCAATTAGAGGGGCATCAACTTCTTCGACATTTAATGGTGATTGTTCACATTCAGACATTTTGAAGGCTGCAAACAGGAAATATGGATATATATTTGCCAGGTTTTACCACCAGTATGTGCGAAATTTGTTTATTTTGTATGCTGGCTGCGGAATAAATAATAAATGAACTACTTATTTGTTTTAGTTGTTATTTCCATTGTTGACAACCCTTTAAACTATGCAATATAAATCTGAGATGCCCGAAGGGCATATATGGAATATAATCCCCCTCTCATCCTAGCACCCAAAGGGCGTGATGGATGAGAAGGATTATATGAATATATAGCCCGAGGGCTCAAGGATTTATCTTCCCTCCCTTGAGCCCTCCCTGTGCTATTTTTCGGCTGTCAACAAATCTTTAAAAAGACAATACTGAAAGTGTTGTGATCGTTTATATAGAGCGTGGTCACGTGTTTATACACAGTGATTCGGTGAGCTATTTTTTAGCCTTTAAAGTTTGAGCGATTGTGCATGGTTTGAAAGAACAATGAGAAATATGCAATATAAATCCTCGAGCCCTCGGGCTATATATTCATATAATCCTTCTCATCCATCACGCCCTTCGGGCGCTAGGATGAGAGGGGGATTGTAAATAACAACACTATCTAATCAAGTGAGTGCAGTTTTTGGCAATGCAAAGAATTTCCTTAAATAACAGTTAAATAGTCTGGGTTTGTCAATCCATCAAACTTTTTGTCTTCCACCTTGAGAGGGAAGCAGAGGTCACAATAATTCTTTTTATACACCTACATTTTCATTCTGCCAATGTAGATGTGGTTGGAGTCCTGGAACTATTTATTAAATATAAATTGGGTAAATTTTTCACAAACTGGTATAGTTTTACAGAGAGGAAAAAAAATTGGCCATATCTTGTTTATTTCTTAACATATCTTTGTCAGGTTTCCATATTTGGAATCATTGGACGAATCCCATGGGGCTCTGATTGACTGTTTTTCGAAATTCGAAAGTTCGCTCAATTTGTTTCAGCATCAAAGATTTGCGAAATTTTTCTTTAATATTTTGTCGATATTCAAGATGCCGTATCTCCATCACTATTTGAGGTACTAAGTTGAATCTTGGTAGGAATAAGGAACACATCAATGCTCTCAAAATGGCATATACAAAAATTTCTTTTGTGAGGGCTTTCAGAAAATACAGATTTTTTCCGAACATAAATAGTTTTCTCCATTTTAAAAATGGCATGGTGGTGTTAGCCTCAGTTATTATCTTTCATCTTCAGAGATCTTGTTCGATAACATTTTTCAACTGTTTGGTACCATATTGGGTTTTATTTTTAAAAAATAGCTTCAAATCAATATTCAGCCGCCATTTTGATTCCGATTTTTGCAAACTTTTGGGGGTTTTTGAAGCCAGCCATGGTGGGAATAATTCTTAGGGAGCCGTTTTTTGAATTTCGATTTTGTTTACTTCCGATTCCACTTTGAACTTTGTCGATTGCGCATAATATACAGAAGATATATAGGTAATTTTTTTTCAAACCAATGCAGGTAAAAATTATTAATGCAAGGGAGCTAAATATTTTTATAGTGCAAGTTCTGAGCAAAGTTGTTTCCCATGTATCATGTATGCTTGATAAATGCTATTAAAGTCTTGAAAATAAAAGTGAAATGATGATGATGCCACGTGATGCATTTAGCTGAAACACGTCAGTACTCTTTCGGAGTTCTAGTATTGATTTGCAATTGTTTTTGGTATAAATTTAGGAAAATCCACATAATTATCAGGAAGATGATTATTTATGGAAGAACACTTGCCTGGATAAATATAAAATACAGAATTGTTCAATGTGTCAATCACAACTAGAAACAGGTGATGAAGATCCTGAGATTCGAGATTTATTACAAAGAATAGATGATGTTTTTCCTAAAGATATGTCATATTCTGCAACATGTAAGTATAACATCTTTCTATTGAGTAATGTTTTTATATGCCCACATTTTCATGTGGACTTATTATGCCATCCCTCACTGCCCCTGGTCATTTTGTTTGTGGGCCCTCTAGAGGTTACAATTTTTATACGCCCACATTTTCTTGTGGACGTATATTGTCGTCGCCCCTGTCCGTCCACAATTGTTTATGAACAGTCTACAGGTCACAATTTTTATCCGATTTCAACGAAACTTGAAATATAGGTTTATCACCCTAAGATCTCGGTTCCTTTCAATATTGGCATATATTGGACTGTAACTTCATGGATTATGACTCCTGATTGTACGAAAAATCACGTTTTTAGCTTGTGGACCATATACAAAATGGCCGCCGTTCGTTCTCAAATAGTTTGTGGGCCCTATGGTATATCAAGGTTGTGGGCCCTATAGAGGTCACAATTTTTATCCGATTTTGATGAAACTTGAAATGTAAGTTTATAACCCAAAGATCTAGGTTCCTTTCGATATTCACGCACATCGGACAGTAACTTCCTGAATTATGGCCCCTGATTGTACGAAAAATCACTTTCTTTTTAGCTTATTCTCTATCCATCTCTCGAAAATGTGGGCGTATCCTGCCTGGCAGCCGCTGGTTATTCAGTTTTGCTGAAACATAAAATATATGTTGATCACCCAGTAATACATTCTACAGTAGATATCGCTTGTGTGATAAATTTGATAATCTATTGCAACATCTCCTTAGGAGATATCGCTCTACGTGAATTTGTTTGGTCAGTAATATAAGTGAAATCTATAGCAATTTTGGTACATATCAGACCTCTCTGTTCTGGAGTTATGCCCCCCTCCAGAGGCGACTATTTTTGTCCGATTCAGATGAAACGCAAATAATACTGTAATATGAATGTACATAAACTGATTTACATTCAATGGTTTCCGTTTTTACTCCAATTTCAAATCAGTTATGTTTAGCGAAATAAGCCAGCAGTCTCAAGCGAGTGCAAATTTCTAGCGTCTGGTTATTCCAGTCTACATACGCCGTTTGATTTGGTACAATGTGTCTAGCTTCGTCCCTCGAGTCTCTTGATACAACTGTTGAAGATTTTGGATGATATTGAGTTACAGACTTAGCTACTTTAAGGATCTTTTGATGAGTTTGACTTTGGTATGTATCAGACCCTCCATTCTATTCGTTTAACCCCTGTTTTTTTTATGCAAAATGTGAATGAGTTTGAATTTGGTGCGCATAAAAACAAAACTTTTTCAAATTTGATATGAAGCATTGGGACAACCAGAGGAGTAGCTCTATTGACTTTCTCTGTTCCCCGTTAATATCTTACAAAATGTGGGTTATCTTGCATGGCAACCACTTGTTTATTCGAAAATTTGTCTAACAATATTGGAACATTTGTCCAACAATATCCCCCAAACACAGTCCGAATTGCTCACACCAAATTTGAAAATTAATAGGGTGCATCCTCTCACAGTTCTAATGCTTGACACCAAACTTGAAATTTATAAAAATTAGAGTGCTATGAAGGAGTTTCTTTCTACTGCATGTAGAGTGCTATGAAGGAGTTTCTTTCTACTGCATGTATTTATTTTCTGACATGTGATTAGGTATGTTTATATTTTTAGGTGATTCATCTATATCCAAATCATTTCACAATCATAATGAGATGTTAGAAGCTGCTAATGGTGTTGGTGAAGCTATGTCTACGTTCGTACAGCTTACGGTTGATGATTATTATAGTGATTAAATATATAATATAGCATAATAAAAACATAGGTTCACTTCACAATATCACATTATTTTTATACGCCCACATTTTCATGTGGACGTATTATGCCGTCGCCCCTGTCCGCCCGTCCACAATTGTTTGTGGACTCTCTACAGGTCACAATTCTTATCCGATTTTGACGAAACTTGAAATATAGGTTTATCCCCAAAAGATCTTGGCTGCTTTTGATATTGGCATGTATCGGATAGACACTTCACGTTTTTAGCTTGTGGACCATATAGAGGTCACAATTTTTATCCAATCTTGTTGAAACTTTAAATGTAAATTTATAACCCAAAGATCTCAGTTCCTTTCCATATTCGCGCATATCGGACCGTAACTTCCTGAATTATGGCCCCTGATTGTACGAAAAATCACGTTTTTAGCTTGTGGACCCTATAGAAGTCATATTTTTTATCCATTTTAAAAAACCGTATTACTATATCACCGTTACACCCTAAGGACGGCTGAGTTCGAATTTCGTGAAAATCGGCCCAAAACTGACAGACAAAATGGCCGCCTTTCGTTCTCAAATAGTGTAAAAATATGGTATTCAAGGTTGTGGACCCTATAGAGGTCACAATTTTTATCCAATATTGTTGAAACTTGAAATATAAGTTTATAACCCAAAGATCTCGGTTCCTTTCGATATTTGTGCATATCGGACCGTAACTTCCTGAATTATGGCCCCTGATTGTACGAAAAATCGTGTTTTTAGCTTGTGGACCGTATACAGGTCATAATTTTTATCCGATTTGAAAAAACGTATTATTATATCACTGTTACACCCTAAGGACGGCTGAGTTCGAATTTCATGAAAATCGGCCCAAATCTAACAGACAAAATGGCCGCCCTTCGTTCTCAAATAGCGTAAAAAATATGGTATATCAAGGTTGTGGACCCTAAAGAGGTCACAATTTTTATCCAATTTTGTTGAAACTTGAAATGTAAGTTTATAAGCCAAAGATCTTGGTTCTCTTCGATATTCGCGCCTAATGGATTGTAACTTCCTGAATTATGGCCCCTGATTGTACGAAAAATCGCATTTTGAGGTTTGTGGACCCTATAGAGCTCATAATTTTTATCCGATTTAAAAAAACGTATTATTATATCACCATTACACCCTAAGGATAGACGAGTTCGAATTTCGTGAAAATCTGTCCAAAACTGACAGACAAAATGGCCGCCCTTCGTTCTCAAATAGCGTATATCAAGGTTGTGGACCCTATAGAGGTCACAATTTTAATCCTATTTTGATGAAACATGAAATGTAAGTTTCTAACCCAAAGATTTCAGTTCCTTTCGATATTCGCGCATATCAGACCGTAACTTCCTGAATTATGGCCCCTGATTGTACGAAAAATCATGTTTTTATACGCCCACATTTTCATGTGGACGTATTATGCCGTCGCCCCTGTCCGTCCACAATTGTTTGTGGACTCCCTACAGGTCACAATTCTTATCCGATTTTGACGAAACTTGAAATATAGGTTTATCCCCAAAAGATCTTGGCTGCTTTTGATATTTGCATGTATCGGATCGAAACTTCATGGATTATGGCCCCTGATTGTACGAAAAATCACGTTTTTAGCTTGTGGACCCTATAGAAGTCACAATTTTTATCTGATTTTTTTGAAACTTGAAATGTAAGTTTATAACCCAAAGATCTCGGTTCCTTTCGATATTCGCGCATATCGGACCGTAACTTCCTGAAGTATGGCCCCTGATTGTATGAAAAATCGCGTTTTTAGCTTGTGGACCCTATAGAGGTCATAATTTTTATCCGATTTAAAAAAACGTATTATTATATCACCGTTACACCCTAAGCATGACTGATAAAACTGTCAGATAAAATGGCCGCCCTTCGTTCTCAAATAGCGTAAAAATAGGGTATATCAAAGTTTAAATTTTTATCTGATTTTGTTGAAACTTGAAATGTAAGTTTATAACACAAAGATCTCGGTTCCTTTCGATATTTGCGCATATCGAATTGTAATTTCCTGAATTATGGCCCCTGATTGTATGAAAAATCGCGTTTTTAGCTTGTGGACCCTATAGAGGTCATAATTTTTATCCGATTTAAAAAAAAAGTATTATTGTATCACCGTTACAGGAAAAATCACTTTCTTCTTAGCTTGTTCTCTATCCATCTCTCGAAAATGTGGGCGTATCCTGCCTGGCAGCCGCTGGTTATCCGATTTTGTTGAAACGTGAAATGTAAGTTTATAACCCAAAGATCTCAGTTCCTTTCGATATTCACGCATATTGGACCATAACTTCCTGATTGTACGCAAAATCGCGTTTTAGCTTGTGGACCCTATAGAGGTCATAATTTTTATCCGATTTAAAATCGGACCAAAACTGACAAACAAAATGGCCGCCCCTCGTACTCAAATAGTGTAAAAATATGGTATATCAAGACTGCGGACCCTCTAGAGGTCACAAAGAAATGAAATGAAATGAAATGGGGTTTAACGTCCTACTGTTCTGCTCCTAACCTGGGCTAATGAAGACGGGCATACGCCACACAGTGTGCTATGAGGGAAATTTTGCCCGGGCAGCGGCACTATCGCCTACTCTTATATCGAATTCCAACTGCCAAGGGATCTTTTACGTGCATTCCAATGTATACACGGGACCTCGGTTTTTTGTCTCATCCGAAGGACTAGACAGGTGTCCTTGTCAGGCCCTCCGTCCTGCATCACTGACAAGGGGGAACCATGCAAGAAAATTTGGATGAACTTTCTCGGCCAATGCAGGGATCGAACACCCGACCTCCAGGCTAGCGAGCCAGCGTCTTACCCACTTAGCCACGTGATCCCAGCTCTAGAGGTCACAATTTTCTTCTGATTTTGATGAAACATGAAATGTAAGTTTCACGCATATCGGATATTAACTTCCTGATTGTACGATAAATTGCGTTTTTAGCTTGTGGTCCCTCTAGAGATCACAATTATTATCCGATTTAAAAAAACATTTGAATATATCACCGTTACACCGTAATGTTGATTGAGATTGAATTTTGTGAAAATCGGGCCAAAATTGCCAGACAAAATGGCCGCCCCTTGAACTCAGATAGTGTATAACATCTGGTATATCAAGTTTGTGGACCCTATAGAGGTCACAATTTTCATCCGATTTTGATGAAACTTGAAATACATATTTATAACCCAAATATCTTGGGTCCTTTTGATATTCGCGCATATCGGATCGTAACTTCCTGAATTATGGCCCCGGATTGTACGAAATATCACGTTTTTAGCTTGTGGTCCCTGTAGAGGTCACAATTTTTATCCGATTTAAAAAAACAAAACATGAATATATCACCATTACACACTAAGATCTTGGTGCATATCTGAACGTAACTTCCTGGGTAATGGCTCCTGATTGTTTGAAAAATCGCCTAACAAAATGGCCGCTCTTTGTACGCAAATTGTGTAAAAGTATGCAATATGAAGGTTGTGGACCCTCTAGAGGTTACAATTTTTACCCAATTTTGATGAAACTTAAAACATATCTTTATATTCCAAAGATCTCAGTCCCTTTTGATATTTGCGCATTTCAGACCATAACTTTGTGGATTATTGCCCCTGATTGTACAAAAAATCCCATATGTTTTTGGCTTGTTCTCTATCCATCTCTTGCTAGGGTGCCCCGAGCTAAAAAAAAATCTCGAAAACTATTTACAGTTATGACACTATATCTATATAAACAACAACCCTAGATAATCCTTTATTATAAACTGCCAAGAAACTATACCTGTGTGCTATATTTATTTTGAGGTTTCAATGTTAATGGAGTTATGTTTTCTTGGTCATTTAAAATTATATATTTCTTTTCCGAAATGAATGAACCACCACTACCATTCGGAACTATTCGTTTAAATTGTAATTTGCTATCTGATGAAATCTGCTTCATGATTCGATAGAATTCCAGATCTCAGAGCATGCGCAACGCAGCTCAGTTTTTGGATCGGCCATTCCCGTGTACTTAATGTGTGCAGTCCAATTTAAATGTATTTACGTTTTTGTAGATTTATTAGAACAATCTATTTACATTTTCTGTATACCCATAGACCCATAGGTCTATTTATATTGGTATTTATATGTTAATATGCCTTTGTAAATTTATATTTGATGTCCCATTTATGAAATAATGTTCGGAACTATGTTTATTGAAGAAACGTTTCATGGAATAATTAGAGTATTAAATAAATAATGACAAAGATAAATAGGTTAAAAATTAAGGTAATCAGCACAGGTGTAAGCATAACTCAAATCTTACCCAAAAACACAATCTGTTACGACATTTCACAAATTGATTGATAATAAATAATACATAGTCATTATTTACCAAACACAGATATGTAATTTAGAACTAATCTGTAATAAACATATATTCTCAATTGTTCCCCTTGGGACATACTTAGAGTATGTCAAAGGCAACTTATTGGAAAGTTGCTGATTTTAAACATGCCTATGAAACCGGAGCTGTGCCTTCAGTGCCTCTTTCATTTCCCTATCTTTTAATTGTAAAAGCCCATTTTCCATACCCTCTTCAGCATCCTTTAAGACCAAATTACGTTTATCAGGTGAAAGAATTTTTAGCCATTCGTCAGATTTATTCATTTTATATAAAATGGACGCTTCGTTGCCAAAAATATTAGACGAGGGCGCGATCGAGATGACTGAACACGGTTTCTGGTAATTTGTTGTGAGGCATGGCAGAACTCGAACACGAAAGATTAAAGTCATCTCGATACTCAAGTAAACTTTTTGCAATGTACTTTCTGACCAAATTATGGCATTCTGAAGTGTATCTTTGATTTTCGACATCATCCAAAATTACTTCTTCCCCACGAGGTTGGGACTTACAACCAGTTTTTTTTATTTGTCAAAACTTTATTATTCTTTTGAGGTCTTCCTTAGACGATTTTTTAAACGCAAAATTGTTTATGTATACCTATTGATCCTTCTTGATAAATTCTTATTTTTCCTATTTAACCTGGTAAAAGTCACAGC